CTCAAAAGGTCACCACTTAAATGTTCAGAATATTGGTAGTTGTTCCAAGTAGAGTGCCACATCCCCTCTCAATTATTAGGATAAACCCCCAAAATAATTACTCTGTAATTAGCATCATATATACTGGATGAAAATGTTATCCAGCTCTAGCTTATGACATGTCCAATTGCTGGAGAGGAGCTTTGGGATGGATTCTTTCAACCAAATTACCCTTTCCAAATCAAGTTTAATAGAATATACAACCTCATGCCTCGTTTCAGATATAGCAATGGTATTGCAGTCAAAAATATTGAATCGAAGGACTTTGCTTTCGATTAAAAAATCAAAACCATCCAATTAAAGTGTGGAACATGCTAAATACATGTCCATCCTGTTAGCTGCTATAGTCTTTAAATACATGTCCATCCTCTTCAAGCTCTAAATCGCTACGGCTTCCATCTGTGTCCAGAGAGCGATGATGAATGTGGTCTGATGTTGAAGGAATCTTCACAGATCCCGGTTTGTAGTAGTCTGGGCTCAACACCTGATATGGAAATCTGCTCTCCGCCTGGCAAAGACACAATGAGGGAACCATATTGGATAGAGTATCGATCCACGACTGTCCCAATTCTGGCAGAATCGTCGGCCAATTGGCCGGTTATCCCTTGGACCGCCAGAGAGCCAACTTCCCTAAACTCTGCAATTGGAAGAAATATCTCTAATATAGATGTTATCCTCATACTCTTTATGTTTGTACTTGAATGCTACACGGTACAAATTGGACTATTAGCATGCTCTAGAATGGGATTCAGAACTCTCTGCTTTCTTATGTTTTCCATTTTGGCTATTGGCTTACTAATTCAAGATTTCTATTACCTATGATACAATGGTGGAATTTGTCAACAGCAATTATGTATGTCCAACGTTACAATACATATTAAGCTCAATTGATTTACTCATTATTTTTTTAATAACTCCGTTTATGTTATTTTGAAATCTATGAATCAAACTTAATTTGTTCCATTTTCTATAATGTGCATAAAATTCAATAAATGCAATATGATATGAAACACCTATTAGATCATATTGCATTTCTAAGCATGCAGTTGGGACCCAAGAAACTAGGCATATATATTTATGAGAAGGGGTTTTTGGCTGTATTTAAATTATGGCAATCCAAAAATGGAGACATTAATCTACAAGGTAGTAACCATGTAATAAAAACCGATCAATAAGCTTTGAAAGACCTATTACTTCCATGTTACCCCATTCAACAGAAATTGATTACTAAGCTTCTAGGAATAAAATGTGAAATACAAGGTTGCCGATGCCTTATCTAGAAGAGAGATTGAAGGGGAGGGGTGTTGCATGGTCCCTATTTGTGGTCAGAACAATGTGGACAAAACAAGTGAATAGTGATGGGAATTCTGAGATACCAAGGAAGGGTATTTGTGGGCAACTCTTCAAACTTAAGGTAGATTATTTTCAAAGAACTACATGCTTCAACTATTGGAGGACATTTTGGAATACAAGGGACGACATACATGAGATTCAAAATGATCTTTTATTGGCCGAGAATGAGAGGGGATATAACCCAATGGGTGAGGGAATGTGGTGTTTATGCTAAAACTAAGCCAGATGTTGGGCCTTACCCATGATTGTTGCTGCCCGTGCCATACCTGATCTGGCATCAGTGTGGAATTCATTGAAGGACTACCCAAATAAAATAGGGAAGCGTATACCATACAGCCATGGGCGGAGCTAGGGGAGGGCCATCCCTGGCCCTGGCCCAGCCCAAATTTTAAAAATGCTTGTATTTTTAGTGTAAAAAATTATGTGTAAAAAAAAATTCAAAAATATTCTTTGTACCGGCCCAGTGCGGCCCAGTGCCTTGGCTCCGCCCCTGCATACAGCCGGCTGTACGGCTGGCACCGTATAGCCGGTGGCAGTTTTGTAATTTCGATGAAGTTCTTCGGTTCTATTAAATGAGCATTGATGTAATTTGGATGAGCATTGAGTCTGGTTTTCTGAGTATTAGGAGCCTAACAATGAGCACCAGTAATATCTGCTTCATATCTTCTAATTCAGTTTCTTTTTATTATATTTCGTTAATAAAAAATTCTTAAATTATGTTTATAATCAATTTCAATTAATTTCAATATGTGAATCTAATATAGTATTTTTATGTTTGAAATGTGAAACATTTTAAAATGAGCATAAAGTAGTACCTAGTGAGCATATATAACTTACAAAATGAGTATCAAAAAATTCAAAAGTTCATATGTGTATGCTCATTCATTTTGGGCGTTACATTCATTTGATTTTAACATAAAAACTCATTTTCAATGTGTTCAATATTAATTTGTGTGAGTTCATTTCTTTTAGGCGTATACTCATTTGAGTTTAATATAAAACTCATTTGAGATTGAATGAGCATACATAACCCACAAAATGAGTATAAAAAATTCAAAAGTTTATTTATGTGTGCTCATTGATTTTAAGCTTTATACTCATTTGTGTGTGCTCATTGATTTTAAGCCTTATACTCATTTGAGTTTAACATAAAACTCAGTTGTAATGTGTTTGACCCTTTTTCATTGAAAATCAGTATTACACACATAGGTTAATTTCCCACTTCAGCAACACTGTCTTCTTACAACACCTGAGTCAACACCCCCAATTACTCAATTCGCAGATGCTTCATATCAGGCACAACCCAATATAAAGTCGTTGTTCACAACTCCAAGCACTACAGATCGAAATTCAAACAAACTGAAATCAAGAAAAGGTTTTTGGGCAGGGCTTTGCTATCTGGATCGAACGATGAAGCGGAGCCGGATCTTCTTCTTCTGGTGCGAGGCTTCAGGTGTGAAACCGGATCTTCTTCTGGTGCGAGGCGAAGAAGCGTAAAAGCCAAAAAAAGGGCCGGCTGTACCGTGCGCACGGTACAGCCGGCTGTACCATGTATTTAGAAAGGGTGTAATATTGGTGGTAATTGACGTTTAACAATTTTTTGAAAGTCAAGTACAACAAAGAGTAAGTGAAAGGGAAGCATAATAGAAAGTCACACGTGATACAACGTCATAAACTAGAAATTCAATCCTACAAAATTGGGTCAAATTTTCTTTTTACCATTCCAGGTAATTGGATATTTTCATTTAAGGTAAGGGAAAACTATGAGATAGGCCCTCCTACTATGCCAAAAAAAAGCGATTAAGCCCTTGTACCATAATATCACCCAATTGAACACCTCAACTTAAAGAGAAAAACTATCAGCACACATCATATAGCTAGTTAATTTTGATGATTTTTTCCCTGCAATGTCAACAATAATGTCAACATCTAGACGGTCTCCATGACATTGTGAAGAAAAACTTACCGAAACTGTATAAAATCATTCAAATAAGGAGAGAAAGAATTTATTTACTAATATTTATGTGGCTATCTCTGATGTCACATGTGCATCATACATATTGTACCATTGGAGATGCTCATAGCGACGGGGATATTTAATGGAAGCCAAAGAGGATTGCCTGCGACACGTAGGAAGCCGGGGCATTTTTCAGGTAACCGGTATCTGACCGGCTAATAATTCAAATTGGCATTTAAAGAAATTTGAGGTGTTCAATTGGGTGATATTATTGTATGAGGGCTTAATTGCTTTTTTTGGTATAGTAGGAGGGCCTATCTGATAGTTTTCCCTTTAAAGTAATAAATATGCGACTAAAATTATTATTTTCTCTTCCATACGAATCTCAATCTCACAATTTTTTTCTTTATTATTCGACGTGCAAGTCAAATTTGATTAAAATTTATGAAATAAAGGGCGTATTTTTTATGTGATTATTGCATGCGGTCACCCGCGCAATAAGGGGGGTCAAAATCCCTTGGGTTTTCCAGTGTGGGAAATATTACTCTAGAAACTCACCATTTTCCTAGTTTTCTCCATTTCAACGAGTGAACTTCGAGAATCAATTTCTCATTCACCTGTTATCCATTTTGAGTGTACCACATATTGAATTGTGGCCCTTAACAAGGGGAATACGAAACCATTTAAAATATTTCCCAAAATTAACCATTTAATGCAATTTTTCTAACGCATTTTCCAACACCATGTTGCAAAAAGTATTTGCTTTTTCGGTATTAATACTTCTTTATTTAAGGTCGTGAATGTGAAAAATAGTAGTGCCCATTTTTCTTTGCAGTAGTTGTAAATTTTAGCCTAAAGAATGAATTCTTGAAATTGTAAAATATTACCTAAATTCAAAATTATTCTTTTAAGTCGGAAGGTTGTGCGAAATAAAGTCTATAAACGTTTTAAAAAATCTTATTCACAAAAGTTCACACAATTCTAGAGAAGTTTAGATAAATACTCCCTCCGTTCCGAAAACAAGTTCTCACTTTCCTTATTTGGATGTCCCAAAATAAACTTTCCACTTCCTTATTTGACAAATTAATCTACATCAAAACAGTGCAAAACAGTGTTAAACAGTGCAAAACAGTGTCAAACACTGTCGAAACAGTGTCAAAACGATAAAATTTACTTCTCACTAACTTTATTTTCTTAAAATGCGTGAAAGTCAACCCGGAAACTTGTTTCTGTGACGGAGGTAGCATAAACTAGTCTACTCAAATCTCATTTGGATACAAATCTTAAATGTCCTAAAATGTCCCGAATTAATTTGAATATACTTCGTACTTTCGTAGTTAATTGCTCAACTTGTTGTAGGATTAATTCGATTCTAGGTAATGGCGCCTACAGGACAGGTCCACATTGTGTTGACAAATGCAATAGATCGGATTCGAACTGTATCATGACTGAATTCAACCGATTACATTCAGGGCGGAGTCAGGACACTGGGTCAAACTGGACCGATATAAAAAAATATTTTTGAAAAAATATTACAGACAATATTAAAAATTGGAGTGGGTCAGGGTCAAAGTTGGCCCTTCCCGGCCTGTGGTTACATTGGTATTTAGTTCAATATAAGATCTTATAGGTAATTTAATATTATTATAACGTAACTTATAGAAGTATTATTCGATGTGAGACACTTATAGGAGAATGCCGATCTTGGCATATAACATCAATTCAATACTTCCGATTGAAGTCTAGAAACTGCATATAAAAGGAACGAAGCTTCAAAAGACTGAAAACTTCATGCTTAAAATAGGAACATGGCAATTTTATGAAGCCATGCCAATAACTACAAGAAAAAGAAGAATAAACTATAAAGAGAGACAAATGATTTTTTGTGGGAACAAGTACGTGACCACATATGTGTCATCTTTTACTTTTTACCGCACGACAAACTAGTGTCCCAAACCATTTATATTTTTCGTAATAATCACCTACACATTATTAGCGAATCGCACTGGCCCTTTACTAAAACCTTGACCACGTTGAGGACCATGTTGATATGGTTTTGGTCCTCTTGGATCTTCATGTACCTTATTAGAAGAGGGCTTTGGCTTTCTCTTCACATCAAACCCAATTTCTATATCTTCTTCATTTTGGAATTTCCTGGGCTGCCCCCACTCTTTGTGATCAAGAGTGTGACTAATGGGATTATTCGCCTTACGCTCCTCGCCTTTCTTACCCTTTTTGCTCTCCTTTTTTGCGCCTTTCGGGCTCTTCCCGCCATTGCATACTCGTCCAAACACGCAAGCAATGGCCGAAAGCACAACCACCACAGCCAATATGACAAAAACCGGGCCGAACGAACCGTTGGAATCGGAATTAGAGCTTGAAACGGATGAAGGCGGTGTTATGTATGTATTGATAGGATTAACTTGGGGTTGTGACATTTTGGAAATCTTTACTAGCTTTTTCTTGGAGGGATGTTATAAGTTCTTAGAAGGAAATTAACTAATCAGACTGGCCAGATGGGATATTTTGGGAGATAGAGAGGGAGATGAATCAATTTGTTTGCTTCATAGATTGTGAGAGAGTGGATAATGCTCTTATGCTCCAAGGGTACAAATATTAGCGCTTGAATCTGAAAAAGGAATTGCTTTCTCTTTATTAAAGAGTAAACTAATAATAAAGAAATATTCTTGATGTCCTTTACTGCCACTACAATTGTTTGAAGTTTGAACATCAATCCCGAGAAATGGCAACATGTAAGGAGGAGCGCTTAAGCTTTTTTTTTTATACAGCAAAACATGATTATCCCATCACGATTTATCTTAATCTTCTTTATAATTATATTTAAAAAAAGAATGATTTTTTTAACTTATCTTATCTAATGCCATAATTAGACCTTACATGCTGTTCTTCGTAGAGTTGGACTTTTGACACTAGTAAAAAACTGTCTTACAGTGACACTTTTTTAGTGACACTATTTTGAATTGTGTCACAAATGGACGACATATACGATTTCTAACAGATATGTGTCACTATATGATGACACAATAATGTCAATGGAATACAGTGACGGTATATGAAAATCGTATATCCATTTTCGCATCCTTTTTTGAAAATTTCGCACCTAACAGTAAAAATCTACTCCGTAGCATACTCGTCCGCCATAAATTTCGTTTCCCTCCCTTCCTCCAATCGATAACGTAACCCTCTTTTTGCCCAACCCTTCAACATATATAGTTATATACGAAGTAGATGCAAAATTTAGGAGACAACTATTGTTTGTCTACACCGTGAACGGCGCGGCAGCGAGAATAACTCCAGAGGTAGCAGTAGCAGGTGGCCTCCATCTTCTTTATCACCCCCATATCTTCGATTTCAAGAGCAGAAACACCATTGGCATCCTTCAATTCATACATGAAGACGAAATCCTCCCTCGATTCAGTTCATACCCTAGCTTATTCCTCGCAACATGGCCTTATTCACGCCAAATCGTAGCTCTATATCGGGTCTCCCAGAAATCCGCAGAGCTAGGGTTACGACACATCGCCTAGCTCGCGCCACAAGAGAAGAGCGCTAGGGTTACAACACATCTAATAGTTCGTGCAACAAGACAAGGTATTTGCTATTTCTTCCTAATTTTTGCTGGAATGTACTTGTTTTCCAATAAATTCACACTTCTTTTGTTAAATTATAGTCGATATAATTTCCTATGCAGTCTGGGTAGAGAAAGAAGGAGACACACTGAAGAAGCTGGAAAAGCGGCAAAGAAAGGTGAAGAACGGCTATAAGGTTTGCAGTTTTCACACATTGAAGCTCAATTTTTGTCCACCAAGCTAAATTTTTGACTCTCCTGTTCTCATTTTCATGCCAAAGTTTAAGTAATTCCTACCCATTTGACATATTTGGCTGCTTTTATTTATAATATGATATCATTATTTTTAATTTTTACAAATATTTGGTCAATGAATAAAAGATTAGCTCTAACGGTAAGAACTAATCTGAGAGCAGGGTATGACTAAACTGATAGCATTTATCGATAATTTTTTACGAAATCCCTTGATGTTTTTTAGCTCTTGCTAATAACTTTCCCAACTGATAGTTTCTGGCACTAAAACAAATTGTCATTGTTTATAATATTTCTTTTTGTAGATACTGGCTAAACAGAGCAATGGTGAACTCTGAGAGTGGGGTATGACTAAACTGCAGTATGAGAGCTTCTATCTTTCTCTATATCAAATGGTTCACCATTGCAACTAGTGTTTTTTATTGGCTCATGATGTTTGGTGTTCACAGCCTTTTCTAAAGAAAATTAATGAGGACAACCAAGGTTTGGTAAAAAAAGTAGAAATTTGGCAGCCTAAGTGGTCTACCAATTTAATGAATCAGGGGTTTTCTATGAATTTACACAATCCATGTAGAGAACCTTCACATTATAATGGATGAACCATTGGAGTTCATTGAAACCGTTTCTCCTATTTTCAGATTAGTTGCATAATTTTGTATGTAAAAATGAATAAAAGATTACATAAAATCTATATTTTATAGCCTGCTTAAGCTCTAATGGTTGTGCTTTTCCATAGCCGCTCCTCATTTACATGTCAGTACAAATTATGTGGCTCCCCACATCTTCATCTATAGATATTTTGCCTTTAATTAAGTATCAAATGAACGGCCTCTGTAGCTTTAAGGGATTCTGCATCATCAACACTCAAGATGCTGCAATTTTCTCCTCACAGATTTACTCAAATTTGATTTAATTTCTTTTTTTTTTTAGAATTAGTTTTGTTATTTGATTCAAGCTACTTGCTAAGAAGGTTCATGAGAATGAGAACATCAGTGAATAGAGTGTGAACTCTATGATGTGCATCTGCCACCTTACCAATTGATCCAATTTTGAGATAGCTGCCACTTTATGAGAAGGTATAAGGTAAGATTCTTCTTAATCTTCACAAGAATGACTGCATTTAAAGTAACTAAATATAAAATTATTTTGATTGGAAAAATGGCTGCTCTATCATCCCGTTGAGCGAGTTTCGGAATAATGAGTTTCAGATTTCCCATGTTTATTATTGCCTATATAAGTGTATGAGGATTAAAGATGATTATAAGATTTCCTTAGTATAAAGTTAGTAACTGCATGTTTATTGATTCCAATGTACCGGTACTTCCATTCCATTGTGATTATTTTATTTCTTTATTACTTCTTACCTAATAAGATATCTATATCATACTAGTTCAAAACCAACCAAATGGTGTGCAACATGCTGGAAGTGTAGAAGAAAGCTCACACGTAAAGTGATAAAACTCCCTTATGACAGATGTTTGAAAGGAAAACCATGGTAAGTGGTTAATTAAAGTTCAGTTACATTTCTCTGATGTCAGTTACTCACATATTGTCACAGTGTTCAAATAATGCTGCCATGGAATTTTGCATTAAAAAAAACTTTAGGTGCATGTGATGATGTGTGTTGATGGGGTTAAATGACAGGTCCATTTTTCATGCATGCAACAAATCTCAAATCTACATGCATGAAAATGAGTAAATGTAATTTTTGCTAAAGCCGTTGTCATTTTTGCCATATGTTTTCAGCATGCTATAGGAATTATTAACAGCAAGAGGCACTTAATACTCTATGGACGGTTGAAAAATCTTAAAGGAGCAGACTTAAAGAGGGTAATTAAGGGATTCCCTTTATTGGATGTTTGCTTAATGTTTTTTAGTTAATACTCTTTAGTACATTTTTTATTCATATTACAGCTATTAAATCTCAAGAGTTATGGTCAATTTAGACTAGACAATTTTACTTGGTGTGACTAACACAAGTAAAGAAGTAGTAAGCTGGACTCTACCTTCTTTAAATGAAAATAAAATAGAGGTGATGATAACCCAAGTTAAGATCATATATGTCTTATGTTGTGATATTTATTATTAGGGAGATCTTTTGCTGCTCAAGTATTACAAATGACAGGAAAGTGGAATGTTAACGTACTTTATTAGGATACTAATGTGTGGTCAATGGCAACTTAAATGTTTGGCGAGGCGTGAGTTTATATCGTGTGTGTTCCTTGTTCATAAGGTTATAAGGTTGTCTATAGCGGTTCAATCCCTTCATTGATTCATGCTCTTGGTTTTGTTTATATTGTTTATTTGTACAGAACTAGATGACTTGGTTGGAGAAGCTTGCAGTATGGCTTGATTGCTAGAAGCTTGAAGCAAACCATAAATTTTTCTACTTCGGCATCTATAGAAGCAACAAACAATTGCTTGATTGTATTTTCATGATTTTGTATTTTGGTCCAACATGTATGTATCATGTAGTTTTGTGAAATTGTATGGATGGATATGTACAGCTGCCAGTGTATGGATTTTTGTTGTGAATGAAAATTGTGGGATTTTTATGTTTTGTGTCTTTACCATTTTAGGTGTGTGTCTTGAATGACTTGTATATGTTATTCAAACATGCTTAGAGTTCTTGATATCAGGACATCAAGAATATGTTTTATTAAACATAATGATACTATGGTGTTACAAATTTTATTGATGTCTTGGTATCATTTATTTATATGATACTAATGTATCATGAATTTTTGTTTCATTACAGTATCACAAGTAATTGTGATATATGCGCGTCATAATATCTAATGATACTTAAATGTCATAATTTGCTGACATTTCACCCGTGACACTAAATTTAGTGTCACCATTTCCTACCTTCTGCGACGAATGATATGTGTCACAGAAACTTTCTGTGACACAAAAATAGTGTCACTATAAAGCCTTTTTCTACTAGTGTGAGTTGCTTGAGGGTGATGATTGATGAAGAATTGGTTGGAGGATTGCTAATTTTTCTTAACACATACTCCGTATATTTTAACAAAATATAATTATCCAAAGTTTACCTTCCAATCATTTTGAGCACACCGTTTTATATGCTCCTAATCAACTTTAATGGAAATATGGGTAGGATAACGAGGCACAATCATTAAATGAAATTACACTTTTTTTAGATGTGAAAGTTTATTTCGAAACAATCGAACTACAAATATTAAGAGCCTCTTTTGAGTCTCCAATAAGTCTTAAAAATTCAAAAAATCACTCAGCACAAAAAAAAAAAAATTGGCTAGGCTACTATTAGCCTATTACTGATCAGGCTTGTAATAAAAAAAATTGTATCCCCAAGCTACTTTTGCTTGATTTTTATTTTTTTAAGCAAATGTCTCTTTTGTCCTATATTTTTGTATTTCCCTTTCCATAACCATATACACCATAAGATTATTGCATATCCAATTATTCAAACTCAAATAAATAATTAAACACATTTTGTTCAATCATTTAGCAATATCATATCAGATGATTAAGTCATTTCAACATTCATCAAACGGGCCTAAAAGAACCGATAGGTGCACAAGTAGTAGCTCTCTTTCGGTAATTTGAAATATGTAATTGTTTGAAGTATTTCTCACGCTCGAATCAATAAACTACATTATTAAGATCGTTCTGCGTTATTTTAATCATGATGTGTGACCCTATGAAAATTTATTAGCCTATGATCCCCTATCATATTTTTAAATTTACGTATATTTTACTCCTAACTTTAG